ACCCCCCTACCCCCTTCTCAGAGGGCAATTTGACATGGGGGGACCCCCCGGTGCACACGAAAGAGTCGGAGAATAGTACCCTTACAAATTTTCCGCCCCCCCCCCCCCCCCCCCCAAAACCGAGTTCTGGATCCGCCCCTGCTCCCGAAGCGATGTTGGTTTTTCTGGGTGCAGGCACTGCTGGTACGCAGCCTATGTAGCAGCGTCGTGTCTCTTCGGGTTAGGTTAGAGACTGGCACCGGTGTTGTCTTTTGTCGCCCGGTTGTTTTGAAGTCTGGGTAGAGTGTCCTAATGTTCCGCACGGTCAGAAAATACGCTTCATGGAAACGACGGAGGTTGTGTCTAGCAGTTGGTAGCATGCGATCTATTTTGGCTAAGGTATCAGCTAGTTTATTTCCGACGATTCCGTAGTGCGAAGAAGCCTATTCAAGCACACGTTTCCAATCGTCGTCTTCTAGCCTATTCGCGAAATGTGAGGTTTTTTGGGCTATCATGAGAAGCGTCATCAATGTCGGCGATGTGTTACAGAGCACCACGGTAGTCCGTAAGAATCACGGCTGTTCCAACCGCTGATCTTGCTTGTTGAGCCCCTAGCACAAGTTGAATAGCGACGGTCTTTGCTTTCGTAGACGGCGTTTCAATATTCAGAACAGCTTTTTCTGTTACAAGGGCTGGAATCACGTAAGCAGCAGTTGTAGAGCCCTTTATTTGTCTACTAACCCATATCAGCGTAGACCTCGATGTGCCGACCATCATACTACATTTCAAGAGCCATAGCCATGGCAGAGCGAGCGACTACCGGGTGCATGCATTTTTTCCTGGGAAGGTTTGGTAATGAATCGACACGCTTAATGGGCAACGCACAGAGTGCGATGGCAGGATGGGGATGTGAGCTCCTGGGCCTTTGATATCGCGTTAGAATTCTGCTGCAAGTTGACCGAAATGTGAACATGCTCGTGCGAGCAGGTTCGTAATAACATATTGAGCTGATGGGGCCGTATGCATTAGTATTAGGGAGTGCATTGCAGCCCTTTGTCGCCAAAGAGAGACTGGGTATTCTTGGGCTCTCGTTCTTGTTTTCATTTTTCTAGAGTATGGTGGGAGGCTCGTGCAGAGTCGTAATGCCACACAGTGAAATTGTTCGAGTTCTTCTAATTGGAGCCGCGGGATGTTGACTAGGGGAAGTGCTTACAGCAGCTTCGACTGCAGGAGATCCTAGCAGAGCGTGAGCAAGCCAGCCGGTGAAAAACGTCGTAAGCCATGTGCTTGGAGACTCCGGAGAACGCCTAATAGCCGGTGGCATTACACCAAGAGTCGTTTGACTGCCGGTCGCCACGTCAAGAGGTCATCGATAAAAAGAACCAAGTAGACGTGTGACCTGCCTCTTTTGATCTCCATGAAATTTAACGATATTTGGACAGTTTGCTGCCGGCTGGAGTTGCTGTAGAGCAGAGCAGTCTTTGATGCAGACAGCGGCAGTCCCAGACAAAATGTTTCTTGCCGTTTTGTCCAAGGCGAATTGGAGAACGTGACATGGCATGCGCGCCTTGCTACTGTGGCCGACTGTCTAGATTGCGACGTCATCAGCATATATCCTGATATTTGTTCTCGGGGTGAGTGGATATTTAACTGGAGGAAGTGTAGAAGAAAGGAAGCCCATTACCAGGTTAAATAGAAACTGACTTAAAAGGCTTCCTTGTAGTACCCTTGCGTTACTTTTTCTGTGGTGCTTGTAACTCCCTCGATAGTGACGTCGAAAGTTCTGTTTTCAAGGATCGCACAAATATAGTCATACGCCCTACCTGCTATGCCGAAACACGTAGCAGTTGGAGGATGGTGGCATAAAGTAGTGCATCAAAAGCTTTCTAAATGTCAAGGAACTCGCAATATGTCATTTTTCCGTTAGCCCGTGCTTCTTCGCACAAAGTTGCCACCTCTCCTATGGCATCAGCCGTAGAGCAATGAGCTCGGAAGTCAGAGAGTTGGCATGGAAGCGCCTTGTGTGTGTCAAGCTGTCATATGAGACGACGGAGAATGTGGGTTTCAGGGAGCTTTTCCACAAAACTGGTCAAGAAGATTAGCCTATACGGAGATAGGTCCGCGTGTGATTTTCAATATGGCGACTGACCTAACATGGAAAACCTTTCAAGCAGCTGGGAGCTCCAATATGCGCCATACCCTATATAGCGTCTCTAAAAAATGTGAAGGTTCTTGTCATCAATATTACGTAATGCTTGGTACGTCACACTTTCAGGTTCGGGAGCGCTACGGTATGTGCACTTCCGCAGAGCGGGTTTAATTTTCGTTAGGGTGAGATCAGAGTCAATTTGCATCGGCACGCTGGTGGTGGGCGTATGACAGCTTGGTGCCTGGTAGGCCGCGGGTGTCAGGATTGCCCTAGAAACTGCGCCAGCGATCAACTCTGGTGTCTTCTGCAGGGGCTTCTAAAGTGCGATCACGAGTCCGGATATGGGATGTTGTATCTGCTTCGCGGCCGACAAGGCCCCTGCTATCTTCCATAACTTCGAAAGACCGAGCGGAAAACCGAAAGAGGTGCAGAGTTCTCCTCATTGCTTACGTTGAAGACGCAGGATATGTCTTCTGAACTTCGTGTTAGCCTTATAGTGGGTGCTCCAGTCCCTTGGATTGTTTGTTTTGCGGGCCCTTCGCTGCGCCATTTGGCGTGCAGCACAATGATTTAAACACTCTAGATCTGGTACGGGTCTCCATACCGGAGCTTTTATTGTCTTTCTCCAAAGTTTTAGAGCATTCGCAATTGCTGTGGCTGGGTCCTGTAGAGGGCCTGCTGCGAGTGCATTATCAAAGTGTTTCCGGTACATATCCCAGTTCATGGCTCGGCACCACTTGTGCTTTGATTTTAGGCATTTACGGTAGAGGAACGTGATCACTGCCCCATGAGTCTGGTTATCCGGTCCAGAGTGCCTGTACGTCCGGTGCGATGAACGTCACGTCAAGCACACTGTCGATTACACTCATATGTCGCCGTGTCATTGTTTAAGTTCTCAATGCGAAGCGAAGATGTTACCAACTCAAGCGCCCGCCCTCTTGCGGCAGTTCGTCTGTCCCCCTGACGCCAAGTTGTGCGCATTAATGTCACCACGGAGGGCAGGTCCTCTGCATCCTAGTTCTTGGTTGGTCCAGCGGAGACGTATGCAGAGATGATAGTGAAGTCTTCAACATCTATTCTAACGGTGGTGGCTAGAAATTCTTCTTTATATGTAGTGTATTGTGAGAGGTTCACCAAGTTATGGTTGTAGGCTTGCAGAAACGAGCAATACCGCCAGCGAGCGACCATCCTTTCTCACTGACGTGCTGTGATTAAATAACGTAGGTAGAGAGTCGAAAGTCTCCAGGTTGTGTCATAGACTCTTGGATGACTAGAACGCCAGTGCGGTGATGTAACAGGTGCTGCCAGAGGTTCGGAAGACGTCTTCGAAACCGACATACGTTCCACTAGTGGATTGAAGGTAAAGCTAAACAACTCTTTTTCTCTCTTTTACGCGGACCGCGTGAACGCTTTGGGTACACCAATGAAGTTGCATTGCAGTATTTTGTTTCCTTGATGACGTGCTCTCTAGCATTCGTGAATTTGCGTGTGCACTGCTTGTATTATAGCCAAGAGCGCGGGTGACCATGATGTCTTTACCGTTGGCAGCACTGTGAGAGAAACATCGATGGCAGCCCTGATAAAAGGTATTCATCAGTTTGTACCTTCTTGAATAGAAGCTGGCATTTCCGAACGTGCTTCTTCGTCAGCTCTGTTAACTGCGATTAACTGCATGATGGCATCACAGCTGTCTTGCTTCGGAGCAGTGAACGAATGTGCGTTTTTTGGTATCGACGCTGGGGTATCTTCAGGTCTTTCGAAATCGTCGATAATGAATCTTGCTGTCTCTCTCGACGTTCTCTTTTTTTTCTTTTTTTTTTATTTATTTATTTATTTTTTTTTTTTTTTTTTTTTTGGGGGGGGGCTTTTTTTTTAGGACGCAAACATAGGTTGGCGATAATTGCGTGATCCTCGTTCTGGGATCTGCCTTCTTTCCGTCAACGGTTATTTCACTTTGAATGCTCACTGGGTCATCCCCAGAGGCGCTGAGGAGTTCAGTGAGTTCAAGTTTGGGAGATGTCTGCTCATAGTTCATGGCGGAGCTTGCGGCTTGGAATCCCACGGAATGCCTTCTTGAGTATAGGCACAAACATCCTGCCCTTCTTGTAATCTCGGTCAGTACCGTGGCGTTGCCCCGTTGTTACCTCGAAAGTTAACCTATTTCACAGTTTGTGATTGGCATACCTTATCTGTCTGGACGTGGGTGTGGGCACAGCGATTACGTTCCGTGGCAAGCTTACAAGAAATCCCCATTGCCATAGCAGTTGAGGCACTGTATTCGTCTGTCCGTGAAGAGAGAGGTGGAATGGCGGACGTCTCCCAGAAGAATGTAGCTGTGAAGCGAGTTCCCCAAGAACGTTATTTTTACGGCTGTGGACTTTCCAAGCCGTCTGACGTTTCCAACAGTAATTTCAGATTGCATGTGAGCCACGATTCTGTTGTTGCTAAGGTTTTTCTCAGCATCCTTGATAATTGTGTGGATCGTAAACTCTGAAATTTGAGCGTAGCGCCTCACCGATATATCACAGAGTGTAGATGTCTTCAGCAACGCCTTGTCGGCTTCTTTGTTGCGCGTGCCGACAGCAATGCTACTGAGTCTCACATTATATATTGCATTGTGTATATCTTCCGGGCACGTCTTCTACATAGCCAGGGACACCTCGGGACCATTTAGTGATGTTATCGTTTGGTGTTCACTTGTTGGAGCAGTTACCACAGTGAGTCCATCTGCTGCTTTTCTTCAATCGATGTTTGCGTGAGCGCTGGAAAGGGAACCGTTGCTTTCGGTACTCCCCACATCAACCCTTTTTTGGCGTCGTCATTGTATTAGGCCACAAGTCCCTTCACTGTCATAATCTTCCTCCGTGCTCACGACTTCGGTGCCAAATGATGATGCAAATTGTCTTGGCAGACAGAACGGGCATCGTCCTCAAGGACGTTGGGAGTCGAGTAGTCCGGATGCCGCTGTCCAGCCGTGATATCTAGGGCTGTGACGTGTTGGGCGCAGACGTCCACCTCGGACGTGGACATGTCCCTCTACATTAATTGTACCAGCAGACAAACGCTGCCGAAAAAACATGGGTTATGGGTATGTTTATACAGCCCGAATTGAGTCTGCCTCAACGCGCGACTTGTCTTTCAGCTATATATGAGCAATTTAGCTAGTGCGGTGCAACCGCTAGCCTGTGGTTTTTAAGATGCACCACGCAGTAGTGATACACGACCGCACGCCGGTATGATGCTCATCCAGATCGAAACGGGCAGGGGTGGGAATTGAGTCCATGATCACTGGGCTCTGCATCGCGAGCTTCACTCAACGTGCTCCGAGATCGTGTGCGCTAGCCCACTCTGCCACCGAGACCACCTGGACGCTGCCGCACTCTCCAAAACGAGTATTTTGTGGTTTGAGGGCTACTCGAGAGGAAGCACGGAGGCAGTTCGATGTATAGACGGAGCGTTTATAAGAGGGTGTATAAGAGCGTCGAAAACAAACAAAAACAAAAAAACAGCAGGAACCATAGGTTTCGCGTTGTTTTGTCGAACCTATTCCTCATCTTCTTCTGATACTAGTCGAACACAAGATTGCTTCCAACCAAATGACTCGCAAACTGTTATCTTTGTAGGTTCCCTCTAAGTACTGGAACCATGGTCACAATCCCGACGGTTACACGTTCTTGAGAGTAGCAGGGCCGCTTTCATGGGTATTAACACCTTTATTCAGCATTAACACGCACAATCAAACGAATCAAGGCAGATCAAGCAAAATAGTTGACGTGAGACGCTAGGCTTTCTCCAGTCCCGCTACGAAAACAAGCACCCGCACAGCGCTTCCGAAGGCGTCTAGTTCCGACAGTTTGCTGCAAACTACGTTGGTTGAGACCTTCTTTTGACAGTCTTGTTGAACGCAAAACGACTCACACTCAGTCAAATACACGAGTTCAATGTGTTGCACGGCGCATAAAGCTTATCTCCACAAAGGCCGGCAGCCATGCGTGTTATTGTTTGACACCGAAGCAGAAAAGGCGATCTCGCGATCGTTTTTAAAACAATAATTACTATCTATAATGTTTATTTCTCAAGCATTAAAAAAATGTGAAATAAAAGACTTACGCGGCACGGAGAAGCAATTCTACGACGAACATTCCACACGTCATACATCTCTCCAAACTTTGAAAGTCGAGAAGCGACGCTTAGCTACGTACGCTCCTTTCGCTAATGGGCGATGCCTAGAGCAGAGCAACTTCCACCTAAATTGCGTCTAACGCGTCTATATTGCGCTTTTATTTTTTTTTTTAGTGGAAATATGTTTTGTTATATATGCATCCAATTTAAGCCCTTTAAAAAGTGTAGAAGCGTAGAAATCTGGGCGAGTTGGCGATGCATCTGGGTGAGAATACAGCGCAAACAAACGACGGACCAGTAGAAGAGTAACACACAGACAAAGCGCTGACTTACAAGTCATGCAAGTCAGCGGCTTGTCTGTGTGTTACTTTTCTACTGGTCCGTCGTTTGCTCGCGCTGTACTCTCATCCGATTAGATACTGTTTTTCCTTCTTTTTTTTCAGTGTTCCTTTAAGCCGCGGTTATTCTGCTAATCCATCATTCAAAAGACAGCCTGCAGAGTCTGAGGCGCGCTTCTTTCCTGTATAACGGCCCAGATAGAAATAAATTCTACGCTGCCCACGGGGCGCAACACGCCCCGTGAGAAACAAGGGTCGCGTAACGCATCTTTCTATTATGCGTCAAGTGCTACATTGGCAAAACTTGAATCGAAGCTCCCCCCCCCCCCCCCCCCCCCCCGCCTCCAAAAAAAAAAAAAGGAGTGGATAGGAAATAAGGACATCAACATTCTGGGAAGGAGCAGAAATCAGCTCGGACGCGAAATGATGGAGGCACCAGACGTAGTAGAAACTGCAATAGGGTTGTGTGAGCACTCCCTCCCTCTCGTGCCACAAAACCTAAAAGTGTATTTGCGGTGCATGACGCCTCGGTCATTCTAAATATGGGTGGTTGTTGGGCCACATGTTAACCAATATTTTTATGTTTCTATATTAAAAGGACATCAGTGTTGCTAGTCATGGGTGTCTTCGTCCTTCATTTCTAAATTTTATGTATTTGTTTAATTTCTTTACTCTGTCCTCTTAGAGAAACGCAAGGAACCAACGACCTCGAGAAAATCCCGACGCAGCAACCATATCCCATGGAAGATATCGTCATGTTAAACTAACCTGCTGAGAAGCGATCTGAGTTGGCGAACCATCTGCGTGACACTTACAGTTATGCCGGTGATGCGGAGGCTGACATTCTGGTACCGAGGCATGCTCGAAGAGATGCCTGAGCCAGTCGCTTTGGTTGTAGCAGCTAGGTGTGTGCTGTACTGCAGCGACGGAAGTAAAAAAAGAAACCTGCCTGCCCTAACTACGTGACAACGTACACCGCTTTTTTGTTCGTACACCTGCCTTTTTTTTCGTTTTTAAAAACTGATCGACGTTTGTACATTGCAAGTTTTGTGCAAGCGTTCTCGAGTCTTTGTTTTTTTTTTAGATACAAAGGCAAAGACGCTCTAAAAAAACATTTTTTGCTGCGATTACGGGTCAAATTGCAATAGAGTTCCATTTTTGTGATACCAGGTTGATGAATAATTCTCATAAATAACTTGCCCGGTTCGTGGCGTACTAGCTTACTTTTAGTCTTGTCTAACAATTGATTCCTGATAATGGAGTATTCTTGCTGCTAAATTGCTTTTTCCCTGAAGTCCTCGGGCTTTCTAGGTGATTACTCTTTGAAACAGTCGCCAAGCGGAATTATCATTCGACAAACAGGCATAGAACAACCAGCCAACAAGGAATCGTTATGTCGATTAAGACCTGGGTCGTTTTCTCATCAATGCCGCTATCTTTTCCGGCGACTGAAACAACCACAAGAGAGATGTTTAGGTCACATTATCTGCAATGTGGGGACAAGGTACCTGCAAGAAAGTTGGCAGCGATTTTTACTTTCAAAGTCCTACAGTGCATGAAATGCAGTATTTATAGACGCGGTCGTTTAAATGTTTTTCAGAAAATATTTCGAGGATCAATTTTACCGCCATATTTACCGGAAAAACGAAATTGATACACAGGTCACGTGACACTTTCCACGCCAAATTTAACGGGCAAATTATTTGGTTCGCACTAAAGTGACGTCATCCTCGCTGCACTTAGTGAGGACGTTGAAGAGGTGTATGCGTCATATGACGTCAGGGCAGGGCACACCAATTTTCCCGCTTTATTTAGCGGGGAAACTAAAATGTTGCTCAGGTCACGTGGTGTAATTTTCTTCATTATATTTATCGGGAAACATGCGGACGGACAGACGGACAGATTTTTTGGGATTGGGGTGCTCCATTAACAAGTTAAACAAAGAAAAAAATTAACAGCGACCTTGCTTTTTAAGTCTAATAATGCATAATATGCATTTCGGGTAGAGTTTCGTGTTTTCGGATCAATCCGAAAAACTCCGAAAACAACCACCGGTAAACATTTTGTCAATTGAAAGTTATCCGATAAACTCCTAAAAAAGACGGTATTTTACAATTAAGTTTTATCAGCGCGCAGGGTCAATGGTCCTGTAAAAATGCCGCCACTCATCTTTCAAATCCCGGACCATTTTCCAAAGGGGTCTTACCGCATATGTCAAGGTTCAATGAGGATAACAGGTCGTTGTAATTTTGGGTCACGACAAAAGCAACTGTTTTGGTTCCCAGTTTGGACCATACTATTTGGGCTTTAGAGCAACGGCATGTTGCGTTTTCATGACAGGCAAATGTATGGACCATAGAGATTGCATAAAAATGGGGAAGAGAGGCAGCTGAATCTTCTCTATTACATCCTTCACAGCTCCACCTCGCGCGGCTGCGGGGTAGGTTGATGGAATAGGATGTGGTTAATACAAGCTCCCCAGTGAATACCTCCAGGAATTTATTGATTTTAAGATATCGACATTTATCGAAGCAACACTTAAGTCAAACCTTTGTCGTGGGACAAAATTAGTATTGCCAATGGCACCAATCCCAAATCCAGCTCAAGATTAACACAAGCGCGTTTTGCATTTTATCTAGGATGCGTTTACGCACGGATATATTTTATTTATTTATTTAAAAAAAAACACTCCGAAATTAAACTCCGAATCTCCGAGAATCGGGAATCAAATAAAAATAAACTACGAAAACACAGAATTCTAATTAGAAAGAATTTGTGAGGAAATTGGTATGTTTTTTCCAGGTGGGTGTTTCTACCCTACATTTTACCGAAAAATTCAGGGGAGGAACTGAATGGTTGTTTAGGTCACATAACGTCTATTATCTCCGCTAAATTAAGCCGGGAAGCTGGATTGATGTTGTGGGCACCCTGGCGGCTCCCCAGCCCAGTTGCCCGACTACGGGCCACAGGTGGCAAACTTACCCGCGTGGCGGCGGAATCAAGCCGGCCACGCGCACATCGCGTGCGCCGCCTTGATAAGGGGGGTCAGAGGCAGCACAGAGGCAGTCACTGGCTGGGCTCAAGTGCCGCCTGTGGTCGCTGGTTTTCTGTTAGTATTCTTCATCGTCTCGCCCATGCCCCACGAAATGTTGTTTCTTGTTTTTGAGACCGTTGGCTCCTTGTTATTCCAGCGGGTCGGGTATGCAGCAAGGCAAACCGACCACAATGTAAAGGTCAAAAGACGAATTGTCACGGTAAATTTAGCGGGTAACTGAATTTATGTTTTGGTCAGAAGACATGAATTTCCCAACTAAATTTAAGGGGTAAACTGAGTTGACATATTATTCACGTGCCGTTCATTTCCCTAACGTGTATAAGTCCGATGACATCAAGTGACGTCACGTGACGCCTCTTTTCCCGTTAAATTTAGCGGAAAATGTAAGTAGGGTGAAACGTTTTTGCGAGCAACGTTGAAAGGAAGCTCAAGAGCCTTTTGAAAAAACGAGTTAAGGGTGCGTTCTGGGGTATTTTTATTCCGTGTATCTGAATATTACGGTCGTTTTCCCCAAG